TTGATATTATTTAGACTTAATTGCATTATGAACATTTTTTTCTGTTAACAGACTAAATGGTGTGTGGTTGGCTTTAATCAGGCTCAGCTTATATTACAGAGGACTCACATACACTGCACATATTCTATATATGTCACAAAAACTATGGTTTAGTTAGATTTTGAAGATTCTTGTCCTAATAAACTACCCGACAGAAATAATGAAAACTGTTGTCTTGTATTGGCCCAAGTGTTTTGACTATTGATTGGTGTTTTGAATTCATTTTTGTAGTTTTTGAGAGGGACAGCAATGAAGTCTGCTCAGCTGATTTAACTGATATGAATGTCACTTTACATAAGAATTCATGTAATATAGAGGTGAAGCCATAAACAGAGAGCACATGTTGCCTATATAACATTTGAATAGTCTTCCCTGTCATACAGAAGAACATTATTAAAACAACTGGAGGCTGAGCGGCAGGCTGAATAGATTGGATTAAATGGGGATCGGCTCTGACAGTGTGTGTTCCGGTGATTGCTGTACAGACCATGAAGACTGTTACAAACTGACAGTGTTCGACTGCAGCTTTTTGTCACTGCCCCCTGCTGCCACTGCATGCTCACATCTGCTGGCCTGAGGTTGGAGCTGATGTGATGCAGCTCCACTTCTGGAGGCCTGCTATTGGCTGATTCAGGGCTTGAGTTAGGGCATTGTAGTCTGGATTATTGTAGTCCTTAATTTACAACACTAAGGGGTCACTGCAGTTGGAAGCCCAATCGAAGGAAAGTATTCTGATTCATGAGTCAAGCAAAAATAACTTCCCCTAGTTCCAGCCTCACATTTCTTCTTTTATTTGACAGAAAAATAACTATTTTTATTCAAATTGGGCAAAACTCTCTGATGACATCACCAGAAAGCTTGATATTTTACTTCTATATCTTACTATTTTCTGATGACTGAAGGATTCATCAAGAAGAATAATTTAATCAATCAGATTAATCGGAAATGAAAACAATCGTTAGCTGCAGCTACAGTAAAGCAGAGCCCATACTGCAGATTTGCTTTTATTTGACCTGGAAAGAACCGTGTTAACTGACAAGGCCTGCGTCTGCCTAATTTGCATATTCGGATGTGATCACAAGGAAAATAGCAGGAAGCAGATAGATAATAAGATGAAATCTACATGCATTTGTCTAAACTCATTCATGCTATTTTTCATGTGAAAACCATTTGCATCCGTGTTCATGTCTCCAGGTGATTTTCCTACAGACTGCTGTCTGCGGTGAAGCAGCTGAACAACATGGCTAAAACTCTTCATCCTCAGATTCCTCTCAGCTGTCAAACCAACAAGAGCAATGCAGTCAGACGTCAGGTAAGCACGTAAGAAGACATGCTGGTTAACCAAATCTCATCATGGACACAAGGGCGGCTGTGGCTCAGGAGGTAGAGCGGGTCGTCCACTAGGTTGGTGGTTCGATCCCTGACTCCTCCCGTCCACATACTGAACTGACGGCTGGTTTTAAGGCTCAGTTTCTGAATACAGGCTGTGTGCATTTCTCTGTGGACTGAGGCTTTGATGCTTTCACAGTATTAATATAGAACCTAGACCTGATCTATAATCAAACATGGACATCAACCTTTAGACTATATGAGACTTTCACTAATGAGATATAAAACTTAATAAATACACACAAACTATTCTGAACCAAGGTAAAACTGTATAACTACATGAATTTACCAAATGTAAACACATCTGACCATTTGACCTCTCTCTCTGTCTCTCTCCTGTCGTATCTCCACCACCCAGACAGCCGTGTGGGTGTCATTTAATCTTCTTCTTGTCCCAGTCTGTTTCTGCAGACTTCCTGCCCACTCGCTCTCCCTCTTCTCCCTTTCAGCCCCTCACTGATCATTAACCTCGGTCCTTGTTGCACGCCCACGCCGCTTGTCCTGATAGCGTCCTGGCGGGGGGGGACGACGGTGCGTCTACTGCCAGGCCCTTTACACGGGATCTTGAGGGGAGAGAAATGGATGACGGGTTCATTGGGGGTCATTATAATGGGTGGGTAGGGGGGCTGACAGTAATGACAAGGACTCCAAACTGTGAAACACACACACTTCATGAGCAACATTTGATGTAGACTTGAAGAGATTTTGTTTTTTTACTCTTCTTTGCCCTAAAAAGGGAAAAGAGTATGACAAGGAAGGAAGAAAGAAAGAAAGAAAAGAATCTCACAAACACAAAAACTCTCCTCTATGTAAAAGTTCAGTCATGAGTGCAGTTGCAGGCCATTGTCTTACACACACAAACTCACAGAAAGTACATTGTGTTGTTGTCATGGCGTTCGCCGCTTCCTGTCCTGCTGGACCGGCAGGGTTTGGTCGACCAGAAGGCCTCCTGTCTGCCTTAACCTCATTTCTATAACAGATCAGCTCATTCATTCAATTAGCAAACACACACACACACACACACACACACACACACGCTCTCACTCATGCACTCACACATGCACATTAAGTCATCTGAAATCTATGGCCTCCCAATCCAATTGTTGAAAAGTATAGTGAATCCCGGCGGTCCCGCTGATCGCGCTCTCAGAGATGCTCTGCTCGGTCAATAGAAACCTTTTCATCTATAAAATGATTTCCTGCCCTCTGTGAGGAGAACGTGCAAAGAAGAGATAAAGTCAAATCAATCATTTTTTTTAAAATGGCGATCAGTGTTAGTGAAGTTGGGAAAAGTTGAGAGCTGATGGGAAAATTGTTGCAGAGCACAGGGGAAAGGCATCTTTACAGAGGGACAGAAGACTCACAGTGTGTTCGGTTCAGTCAGTCCATCAGCCACACACTGACACATCTGACGGTCAGAGCGGAACAGCTGGCACTCAGCTCAGTCTCTGACTCGGTGTGGCAACAAGATGTTCACAGCAGATTTACAGTGGAAGTTAAACTGTTTCTCTCTGAACACTGTGAAGCTGGTTCTTTTTTTTGTTCTTTCTGTTTTTTTTGTTCTTTGCTCTTTCTGTTCTTTTTCTTTCAACCTTGGTTCTTTTCACATTAGTCATCTTAGATTTCAGTTTATTACAACTTGACTCTTACTTTTGTAGGTTTGGCCGTGAGTCCTGTTGGTAACAATAATGTTGGACTCAGTGAGTAAACTACAACACGGTCACAAAGATGTTCAATGGAACAAAACACAAAGTCAAACAGGTTGTAGACCACTCAAACTCATGTATTTGGAACAGAAAATTACGGCAAACAGTAGAATTACTGCCAAAAGATCAAGCCCCAATTCCCTCAGATATTTTATACTTGCCATGGTTGTGCATATAACATACAGTTTTCAACATGTCTGCTGTGGGACTAACTTTCAGTATAGTAGTTGAATAATTTGGCTCAACTTTTGCTCGTTTCCCTTTTTTTTCATCAATACTTTTATTGTTATCCACACACTGAATGACAGTCATGGTATAGCAAAGTTATATCAGAATACAGAAACAGTTTGTAGGTACTGCAGTTTTGCTGATAAACTACACCAGATAAAAGTGTTTCTACTGTTCAGAGTCTGAAATCTACTGGAAATCAGCCTCAGTGCTGGAGCCGTCCCAGTTCCACTTCCCAGATTTGATGCATTTAGAAAGATGTCTCCTTCAGAGGCCCAGTACATTTTTTTGATGAAATGCAAGAGACCATGCAGCAATTGTGTGTCTCAAAAATTTTTGTATTAAATTGTCAATACCAGGCGTTACATCTCTTATGGCGCTTGTGTTTCCTGTAGTGAGATCTCAGAAATGACTGTGGTGCGAACAGTGTCATTGTATTGAAAATAAACGATGATCAGGATTTTGGTGAATGAGTCAGACTTGATCTGTACAACTTGTTGTAGTAAGTTATTGCAGTAACAGGACCAGGAGAACTCGGCCCACAGTACCAGTGTACAGTACTCCGGTTTATAATGTCCCTGTGTTATTTGTGGGAGCGTTTTGCAGGGGGGAGGTCTGGAAGCAGCAGGCCGGCTCACAGCTCCTCTTTTATTCTCTGCCTCTCTCTTTGCTCTGACAGATCCGTGCTGATATCAGATTGATGGGCCGATTTGATTGAAGTCTCTTTGTCGTGCTAATGTCACGGCAAGTGATGGATGAGGCGCGTGCGCACATACAAACGCGCGCGCGCGCGCAAACTCCACTCCTGAATCGAAAGGTTCCCCCTCCTCCTCACCTCCACACACATACACACACACACACACACACACACATACACAAACACACACACACACACACACACACACACACACACACACACACACACAGTACGCACCCCTCACCGGCTGACAAACTTTTGGACCCTGGTCACCACAGGCGACGCACGATGAGCCACGTGACCTGTGGCAGAGGTAAGAAAAGAAGAAACGGAAAAGAGAGAAAGAGAGAGAGAGAGAGAGAGAGAGAGAGAGAGAGAGAGAGGAGAGAGAGAGAGAGTCACAGAAAAGAGAGGGAGATAGAAGACAGAATGGAGGAATACAGTGTGTAACCTGTGTGGAGGTGAAGAGGTGACCTGACTCTTCTGTGTTCTCGCGGTATTTTCCACTGTCACCGATGAGCCATTAGAGACGCAGTGTGAGTTGAGCTAATGACAGGCCTTCACTCACGGCCGCAGAGCAGCTCGGGTTCGGGGCCGTGCAGCCTCCACTTTCTTTTCCTCCACACTGGAAGTTTCTGCTCGTTTCTATTTCTACTTTTTGAAAATTCTCCTTAAAAATTTACGGATTTTTCCTTTTTCCCAAAAATAATTTACTGCATTTTATTTTCGAGTTTGATTTTTATTTTTCCAGAATTAATTTTCGTTCTGATTTCACATCATTCTATTTGCTCTAATTTACACGTTTGACTCAATTTACACTTTTTATGGATTTTTTCGATTTTTGATGTTTTTCCAGCTGATTTCTACTGACGTCATCTCTCTGTGCCTGCTTCCTGCGGGTCATTGTAATCTTGATTCAGTCCCACCGGGCCTCAGTCTGCATGGACAACATGAACTCCTTTGTGGAATACTCCATTTGTAACAGACCGGGCACCGGCGCCTACTCTGCGCCCAAATCTTCACACCACCACCACCATCATCTTCCTCACCATCACCTTCCTCTGGACCAGCATCAGAGCTTTCCTGTGACCTCTGCCAGCTTCCACACGGGACCCGCTTGCTCCTCATCTCCCGTTAATGGGACGAGAAGTGACAGCACGATGTACACCGGGGATGGTCGGCTGTACGGGGGCACCGGAGCGGGAACCGGCGGTGGAGGAGTGGATGGGGCCTCTGGGTCGACCCAGCATCATCAGCAACGTCCACATCATCATCATCATCATCATGAACAACAACAGCATCAGCAGACGCACAACGGCTACCATCATCATCCTCATCTTCACCAAACCCAAAGCTTACAGAGCGGAATATTACAGCCCTATAGTACCGGGAATAACGGGAACTCTGGGGCCTACGCGGGTCAGGCATGCGCCACAAACTCGGAGTATGTTCCCGCGACGGGCCCCACCAACACCGTTCACCCTCAGTACTTCATGGATGAGTCTGTGGCCTCCTCTTACTATCATCAATCAACCTTCCCCAGCTCGGCGCCCAGCTACGGGGCCCTGGCCGGAGCCTACTGCGGGCCTCAGGGCGCTCTGGCTGGGTCACAGTACCCGCAGCAGCTCGGCGGGGGTCTGGATGCAGCGGGCTACCTGGGGCTTCCACACGGGGGAGGTTACGGGGAACTGCCCGTGTCTCAGGACCGAGAGAGGGGCGATGAGGAGAGCCAGCAGGCCGGGCAGGGGCAGACCTTCGACTGGATGAAGGTGAAGAGGAACCCGCCCAAGACAGGTAGGAGCGGGCCGGTGGTTATGTCATAATAAAGCTTTATTACGGAGTTGCGCCTACAGTTAAAAACCATCAGACCAAACGTTTAGCAGCTCAGAGATTTGTGAGGTTTCCGGCAGAGGCCTGGAGATGCAGAGCTGCGGCCTCTTTTCCATTTATCATAGTGGTTGTCAATGTTCACCCAGAGGTGGCTTGCTCTAAGAACAGTACACTGTTTATGATCAGCTGAGACGGAAAAAAAAATCCCAGTCCAGAACAGATTGTAAAATAATTTTTATAGAAATGTTTTTAAAAGCGAGGAGAGGACAAGAGGTTCACTCTGATAAATCAGGACATCCATTTAGTCTTTAATAGGCTCATTCAGATTTTTTTCCCTGCAGGCCTCAGTTCAGATGTTGTGTTTGTATTAAACCTTTATAATGTGAATTTTAGTTTCCTTCTGTTCTTTTCTTCTCTTTTCACCTGTCTCAATCATTTCATTGTAAACAAAGGGAGGATTAAAAGCGAATGTATTTTCAACGTGGTGTATAGGCCCATATAAAATAATTACATTGAAAATATGTGATCGAATTAAATTAAAAACATAGGCTATGATGGACAACTAAAATTGTGATAATAAATAGGCCTATACGGTTTTAAATTGGACGCTCAACGTCCATCAAGTAAAAGTGTTTCATTTCCATTTTGACAGTGTAAAACAAATGGACGGAGACAATCTAAAATGAATAACTACAGCCTCCTGCATTGCTGGTATAATAATTAACCTATAGGAGCGTCACATAATTACGACGTAAACTTTTCTCACGTTTTGTGTTTTTAAAGTGAGATAACATAAGTCGTGTATGTGTTTTCAGGGCTTCGTCAGTGTGTCGTCATATCTTCGGACACATAGCAGGTCTACCTGAGTCCACTGTGCTCCCGGACGTCTGTTTTTCTCTCTCTCTCTTCTCCGTCTCCTTGTGTACAGCTCTCGCTCTTTTTTGTAATGGATATACAAAACCGTGTTATTTTTCCGCCCCTGGGAAGTCTGGTTTGTCTGTTATCTTTACCCCCCCCCCCCCCCCGTTTTTTTTTCCTCGTCTCATTTTGTTGTTCCAGCTTCAGTTTAAATATCCTGAGCAGCACTCTGAGTGTCAACCTGCTCAAATAAAAAAATAATATAGGCCTACTAACAGGCCTTTATTAATATATAGGCCTAATATTAATGTAGGCGCGAACAGCAAATCACACAACAAACATAAAGAAGAGAAAGGGACTTTTACTCAACAGGAACAGTGTCAAAACGAGGACACTTAGTTTTCTTCTTGCAGCCCAGTAGCATATGACCAAATGTTTATCCACCTGTTTATTTAAATGGGTGGAATAGAAGAAGTTGTTAAAACACATGTGTAACAGTCTCCCTCCTCCCTCCTCCCTCCTCCCTCACAGTCAAAGTGTCAGACTTCGGCCTCGCCGGCGCGCACAACAACGCCATGCGCACCAACTTCAGCACGCGGCAGCTGACGGAGCTGGAGAAGGAGTTCCACTTCAGCAAGTACCTGACGCGGGCGCGGCGCGTGGAGATCGCCGCCACGCTGGAGCTGAACGAGACGCAGGTGAAGATCTGGTTCCAGAACAGGCGCATGAAGCAGAAGAAGCGCGAGCGGGAGGGCGCGTCCGCGTGCACGGCTCGCTCCTCCTCCTCCGGTACCGGCAGCGGCTGCAACAAGGACCTGGAGGACACCGACCACTCCTCCGCGTCCACGTCCCCAGGCGCGTCCCCGAGCTCAGAGACATAATAGGAGCCAGTGAAGTGACTGGTGACCTACAGTCTAGTGCTTAGTGATCCGTTATTTGATACATTCCTCCTGATGTAGCCCGCTACATAAAAACTAGAGACCATCATGCAAAGGAATCACACCTACCCGTGAGCCCTCAGTAATCATGAGTCAGACCACACCCATCTTCAAACTCAGCCTTCATTGTGATCTCAGCACTCACCTGTAAAGCTGTGAAGTGACGACCACGTGCACTAACAGGGTGACAAAGGTGGAAACAATACCAGCCACACTTTCATGGCTGGTAATCACTCCTCTAATAATCAGCCCGTCTCCTCTAGCCTTTACTTGAGCTTTAGTTACTGATCTCCTGCATGTCCCACAACTTCACCTGGACTTTTTTATATCCTTAGTTTTACATGTAGGTAGAGAGAAGACTTTTAGATCCAGAAAAACACATCATCTTTTCTTCATCAACCTCGCTGCCTCTGTGGGCGTCAAAACGATTAATCAGGTGTTTTTTTTAAGGAGAGTAAAATGGGTTTGTCCCCATATATATTTGAATTAAAGTGACCTATGAAAACAAAACTATGTTATATGGTTGTTGATGCAGAATACACTAATAAATCAAATACGCTCAGGTCATAACCTTTACTGTCAGGTGTCACAAGCCATAATGGTTGGTAACCGCTGCCTTAATGGACCTGAGAGGCTGGTCGTAGTTGATGAATTATTCCTGAACAAAAACCTTAGTTTTGTTTGGGACGGACACACTCTTTATTTTCCAGATTTTTGCCGGGAGCTGTTTTTAACAGTAAAATGATTTACACAGTATCTGCTGTACAGGGTGTTAATGGATCCTTCCACTGTGATGATGATAAGATGCACTACGGCGTCTGTAAATGATGTCTGAATTAAGGGGGGTACCTAGTGGTGGCTTTTCACCTGCTTGATATTTTGTTGTTGTTTTTTTTTTAATTCTGCCATTTATTGAAATGTGTAACAACCTGTGACATGGACGTCAGAGCATCACGGGACGCTGAAACTCTCCTCGAAAGCCCTCATGACTGAAGTGAACACGGACAAAACTATTGAATATATAAAGAGACAAGCTGTGGTAGATCCTACACTTATGAGCCTTATGATCAGGAATACAGGGAAAAATATACTTTTATCTAATGTGGTTGTACTGTAGCTGTTTATTTTCCACTTTATTATTGTTGAATATTGGAATGCTTCTATGTGTATGTTTCATCCCACACAGCTCTGGCTTTTGCACTATGTGACTACAGGGAAACGTTCAGACAGAGCTGATGGTCAGGGTCTCCAATCGTCCAGGTTTCATGGTTTCACATAACTGGGACAAAGAAGCTCAGAAACGCTACATGATACATGGCACAAGGCTGTGATGCCTTTACAGACACTGGTTGATTTTGGATGTGTGTGTATGTGTGTGTGTGTTGGTGTGTGTGTGTGTGTGTGTGCAGGGGGTCATGATTAAAGAAAACTACTGAAGAAATGCTGAGGCCTGCGAAACACACGTCTCCTTCCTGAGGAGGAAAAGTGGGCGATTTATATTTTACTGCCTGTCCCTTTCCCCGTGAGAATAAATTATTGGATCCATTTTATGTTATTGATTGTAGATTATGGGAAACAGTGTGTGTATGAATGGGGTGTTTCCCCCTCGGGTAAAGTTTTGTTGCTACTGCTGAAGGTCACAATACTTTAAACCTGACAAAATTACAATATGGAAGTGATTTTACCCCTAAATATGACAAAATGTGACGTCTGCAAATTCAACAAATGGTTAAAAATATTCTAAGGACGTGTCAGAACATTTCTTCAGTCTGTACTTCACATATATACAGTGGCAAACTACATGTTTCCTTCCTCAAAAACAGACTGTCATCATTTAGGAGTGAATCTCCTCAGGTGTAATATTGTCAGCTGAAATGTTTGGCCTGGACTGTCAACTGTTGTGACTGGTATTTTTTTTTTAACAATGTCTGCTGTTTTTAAATGAGGACAGACTGACTGAGTTTTATTAGTTCTGCTGCCTTAACACTCCAATCATGTTCCTGTCTGTCTTTTTCTACTTCAGCCTACCTCAAGTAAAGATGATTCTGTTCATCCATCCCACTGATGTTTGTTTTTTTACTCTTCAAATTGTCTATGAGCGGTTTAGTATAAGATTTACTTATATATGATTCACTGATTCATGAGTTACACACATTTACTGAAACATCTAACACCCTGCCTCAAGGACACATTCATTTTGATGACCTAGAGAAAGTAAGAAAGTGTTTGGAAAAAACAATAGATACTTGAAGCTAAACAGGTGATTGTTGCAGTGAGGGAAGAATTACCACAGTGCAAAGTGTGAAATGGATCCCAGAACTTTAGAGGCCCCAAAGGCTTCAGGTTGACTGTGTGTCAAAGAGTATGTGGTTATTTCATTAACTGAAAACTCTGGATATGCATCACTAAAGCACAAAATCAACATGATGCTTTACACTGTGAAGAGAGGATGGGTCCTAGTTTAAGATTCGTAATTTCAGAATTGTGTTTAGATGTGCCAAAATGAGCTAGTGTGTAATTTACCATAGGAGGTGAAAATAAATAAATAAAATAGATATAATAACACGTTTTGTTACAATTCCTATTGTGAGCATATAATATAAATGAATAAATGACCAAATTCAAAAATTGAATTATATGTACAAAAAAGACAGTTTTCCTGCCAAAATACATGTGGATTGAAAAAAAATAGACCATTTCCTCCTGTTTGAGTAGCATTTGCTAAAAATTGCAGTGGCCAGCTCTTTGTGGAAATTACTGAGCCTTTTTATTTTTTAAATCTAACTAGATATTTGAGAGTTGTTTTTAGAGATTTACGTCGTCAGTAGGAACCATTGGCTTGGGGCTGAGTGCAACGTATTCTTATGAAACAGTTTCGTATGACATCCTACAAAAAAGTTATACAATAATAATCCTACAAATGTCCAGAAATATAAAATCTGACAGCCTCAAGCAAACTGGCACATCTCTTTATTCTCAGTGGAAAAATAAATATTTTAAGACAGTTACACCGTTAAAATGTGTTTTGATAAAAAATTGTAGCCAGAAATGTGCATTTTATTTTCTAAATCTTCGTTCAGTTAATGTATACGATCTTTAGTTTGTTAGTTGTTACGAAGATTTTTTTTGGTTTATATATAGATTATGGCGGTTGCTATTGGTGCTGCTATTGTTTCACATGCGGAACAACAACATGAAAGTGTCTTTGAAAAAAAAGAAATAGAATAAAATGAAAAAATAAAATCAACAATACGGTGGGTTAATGTTAAGTGCCTGAGTGTCACATACAAGCAAGTAATTCAATATACAACTGAATCTGCACGTTCTTTGCTCCAGAAACGTGTCACATGTTCCAACAATGATGAAGAAGCTTAAAAGGTGGAGCAGCACATACACAGGCTGAGAGGAGGAGTGATACGTATCGAGCCAATAAAATGTTTGACCACTAGAAATAATGTGCGCTACCCTCCCTCAGGAGGTTGAAGCAGGAGGAGAATGTAAAGCAGGGACAGAGGAAATGATGAAGAAGGAAAAGGAGCCGGTCATCTTCCTCCTCTGGATTACAGAAACACAACGTCTGACAGAAAGCAAGGCACAGAGAGCGTCACACAGTTCAGCATTTCCACAGCAGACCCTCACATTCACAGAGATGCATGGCCTCTAGATGACCCCCCCCCCCCTGCACACACACTCACTCACACACACACTCACACACACACACACACACAGGGGTACAGTGAGGAATGTAGCGGGGCTTTCCGGGTGGCTCGCTGAACTGTTGACCTTTGGAGAGCCTCTGGGATATCTAAACATGTAAACACACTCCTCCTCCTTCTCCTCTTCCTCGTCATCCGCTGCTCCTTTCTGCTGGGCTGAAGGTGTCTTTTCCTGGAGCCTGGGTGGTAAGCTCAGTCATCACCTCATCACACAACTATAACCTGAACCCTAGAACCAGGTCTCAACCCTGGAACAGACCTTTGAAGCTGTGAAGACCAGAGATGTCCTCATGTACAGTCTGTAACTGACACTGGTCCTCACAGAGATATAGTCACACACTGGACACAAACCTCCCTCACATCATCTTCCATGGTCACAGTTTTAAAGACATGAGCATTTATTAGTCGAGGAGGGTCTGCAAGGCATTTTGGGAAAAGGGAAAAGTAGGATACAGGACTTGTGGAACTTTACTCACACTAGTGATAAAAGCCAGGATGTATCTTGGCCTCTTGGCTTTTTTTAAACGTCCCATATAGTATATAGGTAGATATAGTATAAAGTATAGTATATCCCATATAGTCTAAAGGTAGATGTCCATGTGTAGTTTGATTATAAAGCAGGTCTAGGTTCTATATTAATACTGTGAAAGTATCAAAGCCTCAGTCCACAGAGAAATGCACACAGCCTGTATTCAGAAACTGAGCCTTAAAACCAGCTGTCAGGACTTCTGGAACTTTGTGATGTCACAAACAAAGCAGTCCCAGCTCTCAGCCACGCCCTCAGCCCCGCCCACCTGGACCCACCATCCAACCTTGCAGGATTTGGTTTCTCTGAGTGTTTACCTTAAATCTGCTATATTATTATTGGATCACTCAGAAAACAATCAGCTTCTAGTAACAACAGGTCAGTGAGCCAATCAGAAGAGAGGAGGCTCCAAGCCTCTCTTCTGATTGGCTCACCGACCTGTTGTTACATGACTCCTCAACTATTCCTTAAATTGGGCAAAAACTAAGGAGCAATAGGCTGAAATTTTAACTCAAGAGACTAACAAGTGTATTAGCTAGCCCATTATCCTTGGCAATTACGTCTTTAGTGGACGATTTTGTACTGATCAGCCACAACATTAAAACCAGCCACCTGTTTTATTGTTGTGGCTGAACGTTTAACGTCCAATGTCAATGTTCCGTGTCAATGCAGGAAGTAGTGTGTTCTTAGAAACTTTGAAG